TATATATATATCATGTACCTATATCTCACTTGCTTAACTTTCTACTTTTTCTGTCGTCCTGTACTGCAAGGTGTCAATGTGAGGTGTAATTATTTGTCCGACACGGGCTAGGTGTGTTGCTGTCTGACTTATGACCACAAACCCCCAAGTTTTATAAGTAACTGATCACAGAGTACCTGTGGACCAGATAGCCCTGGCTGACAAACTGCTACTTTAGAATTACAAAGTTCTATCTGACATTTCTGGCCGTTTTGAGTTACTAAGACCATGGGGTCAGAAACCAAATGTGAGGCGTGCTGACAAAATGAGTTACTTCTTGCAATCTAGGAATTGAGATATTGGCCGAAAAGCAACACTTGGGTCATATTTATAGATTTTCTATTGATGCCATTTCGTTCAAGTCCATTGTGTCTTTTATTATTCTATTCTTAAAAATTGTACAAGCTCCACCTAAAAGTTGATGTATCAATTTCCGTGAGGCTGAAATCAAGAAGCAACTCATTTTGTCAGCACACCTCACAAATGTACTATCTGCTCTATCACCATCGTAAGATAATTCGAAGTCGAAATTTTTTTAAGTCAACTCTCTCAAAACTAGATAATGAGCAGGTAAAACTTTAGAATTCTATGGTAGCGAAGTATTTTCTTCTCTCTATCTGTAACGTTCTACCTCAGGGCCGGTGGCCAGCACTCTGTGCGGCCGATACAGCGCAAGGTCGGCGGTCATGATTGGCGGGATTCTCCTCACCGTGGCCTGTCTTCTGACGGCGAGTGCTCCGAACTTCTGGTTCTTGTTTTTCTCCCACACCACACTTCAAGGTAAGCGTTTACTGTTTCTCTTCACTTTTTGTGTTTTAGTAGAGGTTTTACTGCGCTCGCAACTGCATAAGGTCAAATGAGCGCCAAGAGGTGGATGTCAACAGAGAAGTCTTTTTAGGAAATCAGGCTTACTCTGCTCACTTCTCTAGCTTCAACAGCACAAAGTCTGCTTCGACTGTCAAGGCACCCCGGAAATAGCCCAGTGGTTAGGCTACCTGACCCGTAATTGAGAGATTGTCTTGTGGGTTCGGTGCTTTGAGCCTCAGCTCGGTCCGACATTGTGTTCTTGTGAAAGGCACTTTACACGAATTTCCTCTTTGGCTTTGTCCTTTCGGGGATGGACGTTGAACTGGGAAGTCCTGCCTCTTAAATAACCTGACTGTGCAGACAGGGACGTTAAACTTATACAATTTCACTATTTTTTTTGTTATGGTGGGTGGTTGGCAGGTGCTCTTGTATGGTTTGCTCCTTCCCTATCAAACACCTATCATCCTTATCTCTCCTTCTTCTTTTCTTTGTATGTGACTCTCTAGTAACGCCTCTAGTCTTCAGCACTTATATGACCTCTTTGTTTGGGTTTTTTGGTCATACAGTATTTGTGATACGGTTTGTTGATCATTTAAAAAAGAAAAACTATCTTCTAATGCTTCAATGAAGAACTGTCTTTTTTACCATAATATGATAAAGAAACAATGGAAATGCCCATATTAGGCAAAGGTCAGCTCGCTCAAGTGTAGTAAACAGGTCACAGAAAGAAGAAGAAAATGTTTTGCTGTAAGGAAGCAGTGTAATGGTAAGGGATGGTGGCATGATTATTCCACACTTTGTGTGAGCAGTTGTGAGATAGGGAAATGTCAAGCAAGGGGGGTCTCTTTAATTCATGAGCTTTATTTTCTCAAAGGAAGGATTCAATGGTTAAGTAAAAGCAAGACGCAGTAATATTTTCTAATGCTTTTTTTTTCCTTGGGTCTCTTCTAAAATACTCTTTTATTACATACCAAGTCAAATTTTTCTCACATAGTTACATATGTTGCTCTACATGTGAGGCATTGTGGTAAAATCAAACGCTCGTCAAAATAATGAAATCGAAGGAACAGGCATTTTTCCGCCAGTTTGTCCATTTTTATAAAAATTTTGTTTTTTGGCTCAACACCTTTTATGTCCATATAAAACACATTTCCATGTGTCAAATTTTACTGGAAAACATAGATTGAAGGCACAAAATGTGTAAATTTCCAGTTTTCAAGGACTCTCAAGCTGTTGAAATTACTGAACTTTGACGGCCATTTTCTCGTTTATTTTACCTCTGAAACCAGGCGACCCCCACCTCCTTCAATTGCAAATGTCTCAGCTTCTGTTCAAGATAGATGGGTATTTTTACATCGAAAGCAAGGAAAACGAATAAGCTTTCAGATGATATTAATAACTCCACATGCCCTAAAATTGACGAGCGCCTGATTCCACAGCGTCGTGACACATATTGTTGGTTCAAGCTAGAAACAAGTACTGTGGAGACTTAACGTTCTACAAAATGAGTTGATTGGTCACTGTAAAAAAAAATTGGTTGAATTCAATTCATCTTCTTCTGTGTCCCACCACTACAGCCCAGGAGAGTGGACCAAACATTTTTCTACTAGATCGTAGTCCGTCCTTGGCCTGTCAGGAGTCAAAGCAGGTCCTTCGGTGTGTGGACTCATCGCTGTATCTCTCGACAGACTGAGCGCCCGTTTATTTATTTACCGTCAAAATTGTCCAAAATGGCCGTCCATTGCCGAGGGGAGGAGTGGTTGTCTTACTCTTAGACAGGGGGACATCATCAGGTGGGTGGTTGGCGAGTGCTCTGGTGTGGTTTGCTCCTTCTTTCCTATCAAACATCTATCGTCCTTATCTCTCCTCCTTCTTTTTTCTGTTCGTTACTCTCTTGTAACAGTCTCTAATCTTCGGCACTTATATGACCTTATTGTGTTGCCAGTGCCGTAAAACTCTTGTTAAAACTAAAACTAAACTGAGGGGACATCAAGACAGTGTCGTTGTAATGTAGGGGGGGAGGGTGGGGAGTGATTTGTCTGTCAAAATTATTTTTTGAGAAATACTGACAGTTTCAAAAAGATCCGTGTACTAGAAGTACATGTAATCTAAAATGTGAAGAATACAACCCCGGGGGTACAAAATGACTCCAGGGTGTACGGATAGGGTTTGTTCTTTCTGCTGGGATGTTATATCCCTCTCAGCCCGGGTTGGCCCTGACAGGCGAGGTCAGAAGCCTGCCCCTTAAATGATCTAAGTCGTGTCAATGGGGGTGTAAAAACGGCTGCATTAAAATAAGAATAATGAATTTTTAAAAAAAAATTTTTCCAACCCCCCCTCCCCCTAGGCTTCGGCAGAGGCTTCATGTACGCCCCCAGCATCATCATCGTGGGCGAGTACTTCGACAAGCGGCGTGGGCTGAGCACCGGTCTGGGCACGTCCGGGGTCGGAGTGGGGACTTTCCTCATAGTGCCCCTCACACAGCTGCTCTTTGACTTCTACGGCTTTTGGGTAATTATGATTGCACTAAACAGCATTTGTACTCTAAAATTTGCTTTTTGACTTCTACGGCTTTTGGGTAAGGATTGTACTATACAGCATTTGTACTCTAAAATTTCACGATCTCTTGTTCTTTTATTCACTGAAGGAGAAATGAAACAGATTTGTTCCTCTCAGTACAGGTGTTTAAGATTGGCGATGTTTACCACCCAGTTTCTTTGGATTTTCCCCAAAATGATGGCAAAGTGTTAAACTCAGGTCGTTTTGCAGAATTTTCCATGGGTCTCAACCCATTTAGCTCAGTCTTAATAGAAAAATTGAATTCAGAGGTCTCATCCTTTAAGTAATCTAACAGTGTTGATTGGGTCGTTATCCCCATGTGCTTACCTTTTCGTTCTATCTTCTTTCCATCCTTCTTCTTTACTAATTTACTCCGACTCTGATCCAGGGAAAAGAGTTCTCCCTTTGAAAATAAGATTTTTTTTCTGTCTGGAAAGGCCACAATAAAAGCAAGCAGAAGTAATAAATACCTCATCTTATCTTACCTTACGTATTCTTATCTTTTACAGCTGCATGGATCATGGTAAAAGCAAACAGAAGCAATAGTTGCTCTGCCTAATCTTATCTTGTCTATCCTTATCTTTAACACCTGCTCTGGTCATGGTAATAACAAATAGTAACAATAATTGTATGATCTAATCTGATCTTATCTTTCTTATCTTTTACATCTAGAATGTCATGGTAAAAACAAACAAAAGCAATAATTTCATTATCTTATATTATCTATTCATGGCTTTTACGCCTACAATGGTCATGGTAATGGAAAAAACAGTAACAATAAGTGTATGATCTAATCTGATCTTATCTATTCTTATCTTTTACATCTAGAATGTTATGATAAAGGCGAAGAAAAGCAATATTTATATTAACTTATCATTTCTTAGATATTCTCATCTGTTACATTTAGAATGATCATGATCAAAACAAACAAATACAATAATTTGTATATATTCTATTTCTATCTTATCTATGCTTATCTTTTACCTTTAGAATCATCATGATAAAAGCAAACAAAATTGACAAAAGCAATAATTTTGTTATCTGATCTTACCTTATTGATTCTTATCAAATGAGTGTTTTATGTGATGTGGACCAATGGCCTTAAACACTGAATAAACTTACTTACTTACTTACCTTATCTATTCTTATCTTTTACCTTTAGAAGAGTCAGGGTAAACACAGACGAAGCAATGATTATATTATCTGATTATTGTCTTCTCTATATTCATCTTCTACATCTAGAATGTCAAGATAAAGTGGGAAAAAAATGGTGATTACATTAATTTATCATTTCTTACCTGTTCTTTTCTTTCATCGAAAAGGGTCGTGTTGGAAGCAAACAGAAGCAATAGTTATATTAGCCTAGCTGATCTATTTTATTTATTCTTATTTTTTCATCTAGAAAGGTCATGAGGAAAGCAAACAGAAGTAATTTTATGCTATCCTATTTATTCTTATCTATTTTTATCTCTTACATCTTACAGAATGATCATGATAAAAGCATGTAAAAGTAATGATTATGTTATCCTATCTTATCATATCTATTTTTATCTTTTACATATAGAATGGTCGTGATTTTTAAAAAACATTCAAAAGTAATCATTTATCTCATGTTATCTCATCTATTCGTATCTTTTACATGTTGAAGGATCATGATAAAATATTCAAAAGTAATAATTACATAATATAATTATCTAATGTAATCTTATCTTTTCACATCTAGAATGCTTATGATAAGGGCAAACTAGAGCAATAATTACATTAACTAATCATATCTTGCTGTCTGATCTTATTTGACGACTGAGCCTTAGAAATGTATTTTTGTCTGTTATTATGCAGGGAGCTTTCCTGGTCCTAGCTGGCATACTCACAAACGGCTTCGTGGTGGCCATGCTGTTAAGGCCTCTGAGTCTTCACCAAAAGTTCGTTCGGGCTTTTGCCAGGTACGTCATATTTACCGATGGCCCCGGGATCAAATCATCTAGCTTCGAATCTCTATCTGATGCTTTGAATAGCAAGGAAAACTAAGTTTACACTGCGTCGATCTATATGACAAGACAATGACAATGACGATAACAATCTTTATTCATCTCGCAGGGAGAAATTTGTCTTAGTCGTTAACAATGGCAGTGAACGTTACAAAAGTTAGACTTAAAGGTGCACTCTCGCAAACGCACAACAAGACTGGACATTAGGCCAAGTAACTACATGTCTCATGTGCTGGGACAGCCCACTCCGTAAAGCATTTTCTCTCTCTCTCTCTCTCTCTCTCTCTCTCTCTCTCTCTCTCTCTCTCTCTCTCTCTCTCTCTCCCTCTCCCTCTCTCTCCCTCTCCCTCTCTCTCTCTCTCTCTCTCTCTCTCTTTCTCTTTCATTTGTAGCACTGTGTGTTCTGTAACCTCACTGCAGTTGGTACGAATGAATTTCTATATCTGTCTGTTCTTGCTTTTTTGAAAATGTATCGTTTACTGATATCCCACTCATCATATGTGTGAGCCACCGTGGGGACAAAACGAGTCACTTCTCCCAATCCACAGATGGAACTATTTGGCCAAAAGTCAATACTAGTGTTAGATTTTTAGATTTTCTATTGATGTCATGTTCTTTCCTTATAACACGCCTTTTTGTTATTTCATACTTTTAAATTGTAAAAACTTCACCTATAAGCTTGACATATTTATTCCCATAAGGCTTGTATCTGAGAAGTAGGCTACCTCATTTTGTCAGGACACTTCACATGTGAGTTATATCACATTCTGAAGGTTTTCAGAAAAGTGCGGGTGGTTGGAAGGTGCTTTGATGCAGTTTGTTCCTTCTTTCCTTTTAGACGTCTATCTTCTTTTTGTGGTTGTTACTCTCTTGTAACGACTCTAATTTTCAGCACTTATATGACCTAATTGTGTTGCAGGTGCCGTAAAACGCTTACTAATACTAAAATTAAGAAGATCACATTTTCCTTCTCCCTTATTAAGTATGTGTTCAGTGTGTCTAAGGCCACAATTTATGTCTGAGGCCAGAAGCTTTACTCTGCCTATTTTTGAACTGTTATCAAAGGGTGGGTTTTTTTAACTTACTTTTGAATATTTTCAGAAGGAAGAAGTGTTATATTGTTAGTGAATAGAGAAGTTGTAGTTTCAACATCTTTTCATTAATATAATGTGTGTGTTTTGTTTTTTCAGAAAAGAATCTAAAACAGCAGCAAAAGCAGAGGAAGGAGGCGTGTTACTGTCAAAATCGCGTCAAAAGAAAGGTCACGACGTGCCAGAAGACACAGCAGAAGACTCACAGCAATCCTCGCCGCTCGTGAAAGCGTTGACGGTGTCAGAGCAAAATGGCCACAATGAAAAATCAACAACCTCCTCACACTCACAGAAAAACCAGCCCGACGGCAAACTTCAGCATCAGAAACGCGACGGATGCCTCAAATCGTTTTTGAAAACGTGTTTTCCTGTGGAGAACAAGCAGAAGAGGAGTACGGCTGGGAAGAGACTGTTCCACTTTTACCTGCTCAAAGATTCCTCTTTCTTGTGTTTTTGCTTGAGTATATGTTTGTTCACGGCAGCGTTCAAAGCTGCGTTCACTTTCATCCCAGCTTTGGTGAAATCCAAAGGTCTGTCCGAGACAGACGCCACGATGATATTGTCTATCTCCGGAGTTCTCGACACCTTTGGGCGAATCGGGGCGGGGCTGATTCTTGATTGTTCCAAACTGAAGCCCTGGCGGCCCATGCTCTACAACTCCCTGATATTTGTCATCGCCTTGATCTCCTTTGTTCTCCCGTTCTTCTCGTCGTTCGCGGCGTTCGTCGTCATGTGTGGACTCTACGGCATCATGACGGGAGCGTACGTGTCCCAGAAGTCTGTGATCATCGTAGACATTCTCGGCATGCAGCATATGTCCAGTTCCTTTGGAATCCTCATCTTGTTTCAAGGCATCGGTACCTGCGTGGGCCCTCCTCTGTCAGGTAAGAAATTCCTGTGCTTATAGAATCATCATCATCATCATCATCATGGTGCGGTCATTATGGCCAGAGTCAGACTTAGGCGATAATGCAATGTAACCATTTTGTAATTCCTCTCTACATGTGCCTCATTTTGTATTAAAATTCTTCAAAAGTGCCAGGCCATTATTCTAAATTTTGACATTTCCATTTTTTATTTTAGAAAAGTATTATGAAACAAATCAGGTTTCCTCGATTATTATTTGAAAACTCAAAAACAGTGAGTTAGGCCATATTGGCAGCACCTTGACAATATGAAGACTACAGGAGGAAGACTGGTTATCTCACATTTTCCTACAAACTCATGATTTAACTCTTTGCGCACACAGTTTTTTTCCACTGACCCTCCCAAACGCTGGAATTAATTTTCTCAGGGGCGCCTATTACAAAATGGTATCTTGTTCAAATTGATTCTGCTGCCATATTCTGTTTATGAAAGTATTTATATTTGATACTGCTGGAAAGGTAATTGAATACGCTATCACAAAAGATGGGATACTTTTGCAAGTCGCAAAATATTGCTGAAAATAGCAATAGGAACCTTTCAATGAAACTATACGAGAAACGACGACGGAGTCGTTCCTCCGCGGAAACCGTGTTTGGTCAGCAACAACTGAGTCGTGGCTCCGGGCAGAATGAGTTACGTCCAGAGACTCCCTGCTTCTTCCATATTTAGAATACTTTCAACTAGGGCGTTCTGCTGTTGAAGTACTCTTTCACTGGTTGTTTCAGACAGGTTTCATCTTTTCATGTCATCATTGTGTTGCACAGTGGAGATTTAATCCAACCCAGGGCAGTGCCACTGACTGAAGTTGTCTTTAGGCCATTCTTAAAGGGGGGATATTAACATGCACAGTAGAATTGTAAATGGACTGACTTATCAATGTCATGCTCATACTGTGCCGAAACAACACAGGGGGAACTGCTGCTTTTTCTTTCCTCATCCTTACTATCGTCATTTTCCTCTACTTCTTTTGTATGTTTGTCACTCAGCTATTTCCGGGGTGCCTTTATAGTCGAAGCAGACTTTGTGCTGTTGAGGCTAAAGACGTGAGCAGAGAAAGCCTGATTCCCCGTTTGGACTTCTCTGTTGACATCCATCCCTTGATGCTCATGTTACCTTATGCAGTTGCAAGCGCCGTAAAAACCTTACTAAAACAAAATCAAAAGGAGATTTAATGAAAAGGACAATGGCTAGGAGATTACCAGTTTTTCTCTGTAATCTTCGTAGGGTTGCTTTTAAGGCCAAGCGGGCTAACCCAGATTTCAGGGGTTTCCAGAAATCTTGATCTACACCAAAAGTGGTCCTTGCCCTACCTATAGGAGAAGTTTGGTTTCATTGGTGTGTATACTTCCTTGTCTTATAAAGAAACTGAACAAGGGGCAAAAACTTAACCTTCGATTTTCTTAGTACAGCATTTTTCGGGATAGCCCCATTGTGCTTAAAAGCGACCATTTTTATATGTGTGCGCCTGGAGAACGGTTCCAGTTTTTTTAAATTTTGAATCTTGAACTAAGGGCGTGTTCTTGTAGCAAATTCAATACTAAACATGCTGATTTAAAAATTTTTCAAGAATCTTGAGTAGTTTTAAAGATATATGAGTGGGTGGTTGTCGGGTGCTCTGGTGTGGTTTGCTTCTTCTTTCCTATCAAACATCTATCGTCCTTATCTCCCCTTCTTCTTTTTTATGTTTGTTACTCTCTTGTAGCACCTCTAATCTTCTGGCGCTCATATGACCTTATGCAGTTGCGAGCGCCGTAAAACGTCTACTAAAACTTTTCAAAAGATATATGCCACGTTTTACGCAGGGTGTAAAGACCAAGTTTGGAGAAAAACCCAATTCCAAGCTCATTTTTTACATTTGGTGAAGTACAACATGTTGCCAAAATAACTATATCTAATTTTTTTTTTTTAAGGTATTAAGACTTTAAATATTATAAAATCCTTACAATAAGTTATTAATAAATGGTAAACATGTATTTTCTAATTGAACTAAATGTTTGACCAGATACACATAAAAACTTTTTTTTTGTTACCTTTATATCCCGCTGCTGAGAAACTCAGAAATAGCTTTGTCAAGAACTTGGACCTTCATCCAGGCACACACATATTTATATTATGATATATATATAAATATATATATAGATATATAGAGAGAGATGTATATAAATTTTTATTTTTTTTTTAAATATATAGATAGATAGATATATATAGATATATATATAAAATATATATATAAATATATATATGTATATATATGTATATATGTATATAATGTATATATATAATATATAAATATATATATATATATATATATATATATATATATATATATATATATATATATATATATATATATATATATATATATATATATATATATATATCTCTGTGTGTGTTTGTGTGTGTGTGTATGTCTGTGTGATAAGTGGTCAGTGTTAAGAAATTGTAGGTCTTCTGTTGTTGTTGTTGTTGTTGTTGTTGCCGTATTGTGAAATAGCAGTTGGCTATAAGTCCACACAATTGCGTTGTTGGTCTAGTGGTTATGCTCCAGGACTCCCAGCCGTGATGTCATGGGTTTGAACCCCCTCTGGGGCCCAGCCTTGTATCCTTGGGAAAGGCACTTTACGCAAATTTTCCTCTTTTCACCCCGGTGGAAATGTATAGAACAATAATAATAATGATAATAATAATAATGATGATAATAATAATAATGATAATAATAATGATGATGATTAAAATAATAATAATGGTAATAATAATGATAATAATAATAATGATGATAATAATAATAATGATAATAATAATAATAATGATAATAATAATAATAATAATAATAATAATAATAATAATAATAATAATAATAATAATAATAATAATAGTTATAATAATAGTAATAATAATAACAATGATAATAATTGCATTTTTTCAGCACATATCCACACGGTGCAGCATGCTCTATGCACTTTACAAGACAATGCAATTCCATTGACAAGTATTCATAGAATTTTTTCGAAGCTTGTAATTGTCGCTTTAGAAAAGTAACTTTCTATTAGAAGCCCAGGCTTGCCACAGAGAGATACAAACAGAGAGAGAGAGAGAGAGAGAGAGAGAGAGAGAGAGAGAGAGAGAGAGAGAGAGGGAGAGAGGGGGGGGGGAGTGAGAGAGAGAGAGAGAGACTATTTATGAACGTGTGATGAAATCATGTAGGGGTACGGGAGAGGGTGAAAAGTGGAAATTCCATTAAAATATGTGAGAAAAATGTGATGAAATTGCATCGGAGTATGACAGAGAGAGAGAGAGAGAGAGAGAGAGAGAGAGAGAGAGAGAGAGAGAGAGAGAGAGAGAGAGAGAGAGAGAGAGAGAAATTATGCGTCAAAAATATAAAATGTGATGAAATCACGCAGAAGTAGGTGAGAGAGAGAGGGGGGCGGGGGAGGGACAGGGGGAGAGAGACATGGAACTTATTTATAGAGAAATTTATTCATGAAATGGTGAAACCGCTTGGGCAAAAGTGAGTTGTTATTCGTGTTTAGTCAATGCTAATGATCATCCCCGGAATAAATTACGCACGAAGTGAAACGCGCCAAAGGCTGAGAGAAACATAAAATGGGATTTTAAATTTCAGAAAATGCTGTTTAACAAAATTTTGAAACGAAAGTGACGGTAACAATAACAATATCTATTTCTTTCTTTTTTTATTTTTTTATTGTAAACTTTACACGAATCCTTAAAAACAGATTCTTCTAAATCATCGAGCAAGTGTAACCTCTAAAACGTAGGTGTGGTCATTTCATTAATCGTTACATCTCGCGTTTAATGCCTTCTGAGTGGAATAAATGGGTGGTGGGCGGGTGCTTTAGTGTGGTTTGCTCCTTCTTTCCTATCAAACATCTATCGTCCTTATCTCTCCTCCTTCTTTTTGTGTTTGTTTCTGTCTTGTAACACCTCTAGTCTTCGGCGCTTATATGGCCGTATTGTGTTGCAAGTGCCGTAAAACACTTACTAAAACTGAGTGGAACATTTTACTTTTTTAATTTGTTGAAAGTTTGGATGAAACCCTCCTCCAGTACGTATCGTTTTGCTGAGTCATATTTTGTTGTTTTTTTATCAATGTGATATTCGTAAAACACGGAAAGAGAGAGAGACAGAGAAGGAGAGAGGGGAGAGAGAGAGAGAGAGAGAGAGAGAGAGAGAGAGAGAGAGAGAGAGAGAGAGAGAGAGAAAGAGAGAAAGAGAGAAAGAGAAAGAGAGAGAGTGAGAGAGAGAGAGAAAAGAGTAGGGGGGAGGGGAGAGGAGGATCAGGGGCACGAATTCCCGACCACTCTTTAAAATGCCAACTAGATCGTACTTGTGGCCGAGTCACCTTGTAATGGATTGCACGGCTTGGTTAATGATCTCGATGACAGTTACGTACATGTGTATTCCTTCATCATAATGAATTCACCATGCTTCAAATGCTAATTAGACTCAAATGTAATTCCTCCAGGAAGATACACTTCCGCCACTTTCCGCACGCACTCAGATTCTTTCTTCTTTTCTTTCTGTCCTACGTTTTTACGTTTTCTTTCGCTCCCGCCCAACTTCTTGAATTTCCGTGGAATTCGTGCACACCCCCACCTCCCACCATCCCGCCCTCCCGCTCTTTCTCCCTTTTCCTCGTTGCCCGTCCCCCCCTCCCTCTCTCTCTCTCTCTCTCTCTCTCTCTCTCTCTT